AGGTTATCCAGGGGGTTCTTATTAAACACAGAGCTAGAATTAAAAAAGAAAGCAAGGCACAATTGTCTTCCCTCCTAGCAAAAATTCAGGTTGTGGAATCTCGCCACACACATGCACCAACTCCTGCTTTGGAAATGGAATTGTTCCTTCTCCACAGCCAGCTCAAGGACCTTTTGCACTGCAAGGTCGAAGCTGCCCTTCAAACATATCTCCAAGTATTCTATGAATCAGGTGATAAGTGTGGTCCTATCTTCGCTCGCTCTCTGCAAGCACAACGCTTGGCAACTTATGTCCCCCGCATCACGCGATCAGATGGACGGCAGGCTACTTTTACATTGCACATTGCCAAGGTCTTTGGGGAATTTTACTCCAACCTATACAACCCTGTGCCCTCCCCCAGACCAAAGGACTCCCTACAAGAGTACCTGCAGGACTTGAGCCTTCCTAGGCTGCCCTCACCAATCCAACAAGAGCTGGAAGACCCTATCTCCTTGACTGAAGTACAGAATGTGCTGGGCTCTGTCAAATCTGGCAAAGCCCCAGATCCTGACGGCCTAACTTTACAATATTACAAGAATTTGCTTTCACACCTTGGACAGCACATGGTTAAACTGTTTAATACGTTAGGTGACTCTGCCTCTCTCCAGCGGGACTCTTTGCTAGCTCATATTATTGTGCTTCACACGGAAGGAAAGGATCCCTCTTCATGTGCCAGCTATAGACCAATCTCTCTCTAATATGTCGATCTCAAACTGTTCACCAAGATTGTCGCTACACACCTTCAATGATGCTTATCCTCCATCATACACTAGGATCGGGTCGGCTTTATTCCCTCCCAGGAAGTGCGGGACAATACCATTAAAATTCTGAACCTGATTCAGACCGCCAATCACTCCAACACTGCCTGCGTGTTTTTAGGGACAGACGCCGAAAAGGCTTTTGACCGGGTTGATTGGAGGTTCAAGTTTATGGTCCATCATATTGGACTGGGATCACATATGTGCCGATGGGTATCTAGTGTGTACACCACCCCTACTAAAGTTCCTAAAGGAACTTAGGCAGGATGCACATCTTCACAATGTGGCACTGGCCAAACCAGGAATATAGGCCCTTATGCCAAGTAAACAAAAGAGAGCGGACTTTCTCCAGAAGTGGAGGGGGAATAAAGAGAGAGAATACATGACAGTCGTGGAGGGAGTGTGCCCAGATACTTTAGAGCTGTAGTAGACCACTTGAAGTTAAAATTGGACTGCAGATAACTTTGGAGAGATCGAGGCAACATTACTCCCATCGTCTCTGACATAGAAAAATTAATTTTAAGGTTAGATAGGTTACCATAGTGTTCAAATTCCCGAAGGAGGTTAGGGATGGATATCATCGGGTTGGTCAATGTGAACATCATATCATTGGAGCAAGCTGATACCTTGTGCTGCATCCTGCCAACCTCTAGTCCCTGTCTGGGTTCTGCCGAACCGTACAGAGAAAAGGTTCCAACGTGAGGCCAAAAAGAAGGGGCAATAAGGGGCAACCCTATCGAGTGCTGTTGGAGATGGGGAAGGGATCAGAGAGGACTCCGTTCACCTTAACCGAGGCAGTAGGGGTGGTGTACACACTAGATATCCATCGGCACATACGGGATCCCAGTCCAATATGATGGACCATAAACCTGAACCTCCAATCAACCCAGTCAAAGGCCTTTTCGGTGTCTGTCCCTAAAAACACACAGGCAGTGTTTCAGGCCTTGCATTCCATTATGGTTTTTTAAACAAGCGGACGCTGTGTTATCTGACTTCATCTGGGCTAAGAAAAGACCACTGATCCAACATAAGCTTTTCACCTTGCCCAAACAATGTGGTGGGTTGGCAGTTCTAAACCTATGCAAATACTATCAAGCAACCCACCTTGGGAGGCTGATAGACTAGTGCCACCATGGCAACATTAAAATATGGCTCAATATTGAACAGGCCCAAACCCTGATTTCATTCAATAGAGCCCCATGGTGCCACGCGACCTCTCCATTCTCTTTCAAAATGCATCCTTTGATTAGTACGACATTCCTTGTATGCTCTTCTCTTTTTGCCTCTACCTCCTTGTCATCGGAACGCTCCCCTCTTTATCCTATCTTGAGGAATCAGGCATTCGAAGCCGGCCTCTTTATCTCAGCTGTATTTATTTTCCTTTCGACATGCTTTTCTATTTTATTTTTCTATTAAAAAACAAGCTGACTGTAAGGCGGGTTTTCTATATTGTATGCCTTTTACACATGGAACAGGGATATGCCTTACTGTTATCTCATGATTATACTATATGGACGTTCGGTTAATGATTATACTTTGAGAACCTCAAATTGATTGTACTGCACTAATATGGCTATTTGCCACCCGCTATTCAGCTTTTATAAATAATTTGAAAAAGAAAGCTGGCTGCCAGCTGAAAAAGACCAATCAAAACTCTCCAGGAACAGAAGCAAAGCTTTTATGAATCAAATTGACAAGGCATGCACACCCTACCTGGAAATGCTGGATCATGTATAGCTGTGTTTAAAAAGTTTGCCAAAAGATTAGTCTTTTATTTAAGGATAGTGATCATATGAAGTCATTAATTATCACATAGTTGTTTGGCTCCTTTTTAAATCATAATGAGAACTGAAATCACAATATGGCCATGATCAAAAGTTTACATACCCTGGAATGTTTGGCTTTGGTATACACACACAAGGTGACACACACGGGTTAAAATGGCAATTAAAAGATTAATTTCCCACATTTGTGGCTTTTTAAATTGCAATTAGTGTCTGTGTATAAATAGTCAATTAGTTTGTAAGCTCTCACTTGAACATGATGCACTGCTCTGGAAAAGCTGCTGTGGTTGTTTCACCACAAAAAAAGCCTGGTTACAATATACCTGACAAGACCTTGACACGCTTCCCAAGCTTTTTTTAGTATTGTGGCAACTTGACCATGCAGCTCATTTTTGTTCACGTTTCGCCATATTGTGCTCCTTGAAACAACCACATCATCTTTTTCCAGAGCAGCCTGTATTTCCCCTGAGGTTACCTGTGGGTTTTTCTTCAAAAGCAGCACAATTCTTCTGGTAGTTGTGGTTGCAATCTTTCTTGATCTACCTGATCTTGGCTTGGTATCAAGAGATTCCTGCATTTTTCACTTCTTAATAAGGGAACAGTACTGACTGGCATATTTAAGACTTTGATATCTTTTTATATCCTTTTCCATCTCTAAAAAGTTTAATTACCTTGTTACGCAGGTCTTTTGACAGTTAATTTCTGCTCCCTGTGGCTCAGTATCTAGCCTGTTCAGTGCATCCAAGTGAGAGATAACAATTTACACTGACACTAATTTCAGTTTAAAAAGCTGCAGATGTGGGGATTTACCCTTTAATTGCCATTCCACTTGCCTCCATTTACCCCCCTCGCTTCCTGACCAGGCCATTTTTTGTGATACGGCACTGCATTGCTTTAACTGACAATTGCCTGATCATGCAACGCTATACATAGTGAAAATTTATGTCGTTTTTTCCCCCCCCACAAATAGAGCTTTCTTTCGGTAGTATTTGATCGCCTCTGTGTTTTTTATTTTTTTTTTTTCGCTATAAACAAAAAAAGACCGATTATTTTGAAAAAATATATATATTTTTCACTTTTTGCTTTAAAACATATCCAATAAAAATTTAAAAAATGTTGTCACAAATTTAGGCCAAAATGCGTTCTGCTACATTTCTTTGCTAAAAAAAATCCCAATATGTCTAAATTAATTGGTTTATGTGAAAGTTATAGTGTCTACAAATGGCGGTATATATACTGTAATTTTTTTTTTTTTTAATACTAGTAATGGCGGCGAGCAGCGACTTATAGCGGGAATGCGGAGGACATTTTGACACGGGGGGGGGGGGGGGGACTGACTGTCACCGACGTCCCCAGTGACCAGTGCTAATAAAAAGCACTGACACTGTACTAATGACACTGGGCAAGAAGGAGTTAACTTTTGGGTGATCAAAGGGTTAACTGTGTGCTGTGTGTGTTTTTCTAGGGAGACATGCTGCTTTGTATCTCTCTGGTGTGCAGAGAGATACAAAACAGCATGTCCATGTTGACAGGGGAGAGACCTGTGTTGTCTACACATAGGTCTCTCCCCTGTCAACCTTACACGGCAGTGCTGGCCAGGAATCACCGGCTGGGACCAGGTGATTGACATCCCTAGGTGCCAATAGCCTTGGTAGACCCTCGTGCACCTCCCCTACCCAGAAATGCAAATCATATATATATATATATATATATATATATATATATACATACATACATACATAAATGATTTTGTGCAGCCCTGCTTCCCTGTAGCAGTATTTCTACTATAGGGCAGTGGGCAAGTGGTTAATCTGTGTGTGTCACCTTGTGTGTCTGTATCAAGGCCAAGCATTCCTGGGTATGAGAACTTTTGATCAAGGCCATTTGGGTGATTTTTGTTATCCTTATGATTTAAAAAGGAGCCAAACAACTATGTGATAATAGACGGCTTCTTATTTATTTATTTCAGTTGCTTATATAGCGACGTCAATTTACGCAGCCCTTTACATATATATTGTACATTCACATCAGTCCCTAACCCTCAAGGGGCGTACAATCTAAGGTCCCTAACTCACATTCATACTTATGATCACTATCCTTAAATAAAAAAGTTTTTTTGGCATGATCAGACATATTTTCAATATCAATACAAAAATTTCACAATTTGCAAACTTTTGAGCACAACTGTGTATACACATGATCCAGCGCAGCATGGCTACACTGTTGCAGTAAAGCTACAGTTGGCAGTCTACAAGTGGTTAAGTAATGACAAAATTATTGCCAAACAAACTGGTCCATAGAAAAAATTTAAAAATTGCTCCAGTCCACAGGAGGTGGCCAGCTGTGAGAGGTGAAGAGGAACGTGATTATTTGTCTGTGTCTATAAGGAGTCCCAACTCCGCCTCCTGACACAACTGAACTCTGCCTGATTTCTTAGTGTTGATTGTGCTCAACCACAAACACAGCATGTAATACGCTAGAAACAGGGGCGGACTGACCATTTGGAAACTTGGGCGCTGCCCAAAGGCCCGGGGTCAGTAGGGGGCCCCATGAGATGCCCCTGGTACCTTTTTCATAGGCTTGTTTGAGTTTGGGCAAGGACACAGGGGCCCCACGATCCCCTATTGCCCGGGGGCCCCATGAGTTGTCAGTCCGCCCCTGACCAAAAATATCTGCAATAGAAGAGAAGGCACTAATAATTTGTGTTAATCGATTCTTGGCTCATTTTAAAGCCTCATGTACACTGGAAGTTATAAAAATGCCAGTAGCATTAGCTGTAGAATGTTGCTTTAAAAATACAAGTTTTGTTGTATTTTTTAGTGTTTTTGCATTAGCTTTTTATTTTCAGCACTTTTTATATGTTCAATAACATATGAACTATCAATAAATCTGAATCATATACTAACTCGATATAAAAGTGCAACTAAATAAAAAAAACATGCAGTGTCAATTCATATGTATCAAAAACAGATCTTGTTAAAAAAAAAAAACATATTTCATATCAAAGTTGTGTTCAATCCAAGTGTAAATCATCCAATGTGCATATCTGGTATCAGTTCATCAAGCAATAAACAAATTAAAATGCAAGTTCCAAGTGCAAATGATCCAAATGTGCAAATGACAAGTTAAAATTCAAATCCATCAATTAATCCAATAAAGTGCAAAAGTGTTCCAACTGCCAAATGTCCAAACTTTGTTCTCAGTGGTCATCTGTGAACATATACCACCACATGTCTGCACCCCGAGTACACACAGTACTCACCCTCTATATAAATTCACATATCTTTGAACATGTGTATGTATATATATATATATATATATATATATATATTTACATACATAGAGTTTCTCACTGAAGTGAGTACACTCCTCACATCTTTGTAAAAATATATCTTTTTTTTGTAAATATTTTAATCTTTTCATGTGACAACACTGAAGAAATGACACTTTGCTACAATGTGACGTAGTGAGTGTACAGCTTGTATAACAGTGTAAATTTGCTGTCCCCTCAAAATAACTCAACACACAGCCATTAAATGTCTAAACCGCTGGCAACAAAAGTGAGTACACCCCTAATGAAAATGCCCAAATTGGGCCCAAAGTGTCAATATTTTGTGTGGCCACCATTATTTTCCAGCACTGCCTTAACCCTCTTGGGTATGGAGTTCACCAGAGCTTCATAGGTTGCCACTGGAGTCCTCTTCCACTCCTCCATGACGACATCACGGAGCTGGTGGATGTTAGAGACCTTGCGCTCCTCCACCTTCCCTTGAGGATGCCCCACAGATGCTCAATAGGGTTTAAGTCTGGAGACATGGTGTCCAGGCCCCATGGTGTACCCCTACCCCCGTGGTGCTGCCGATTACATCCTCTCCCTCCCACCGGCAGCTGCAAGCCAGGGGCGGACTGACCATTTGGAAACTCGGGCACTGCCCGAGGGCCTGGGGTCAGTAGGGGGCCCCATGAGATGCCCCTGGTACCTTTTTCATAGGCTTTTTTGAGTTTGGGCAAGGACACAGGGGCCCATGATCCCCTTATGCCCGGGGGCCCCATGAGTTGTCAGTCTGCCCCTGCTGCAAGCACATAACAGGATACTTCGGGATGGAAAGTAAAGAGGGAAGAGTCCATTAAATACGTCACATTTTTACCTGCCCCTTACTTTCCTGAATAAACACAATCAGTGATCGGTAACGATCACTCACTGTGTTCATTCATGACTGAAGCTTAGTAAACAGTTGTTTTTTTTTGGGGGGGGGGGGGCTATCAGATTGGCTGTATGGGGCCCCATGGTTTCTGATAGCAGCCCTGCCACCCACAGTAAGCCTTGTCTGAACTCCTAGTAATTGTGCAGTGATAATAAGAATGTGATATAGAGAAGGCTTACAAATGATTGTACTGTACATAGCACAGTTTACATATAAATGAAATATGAAAAAAGCATGTTTAATTTTTTATTTTAATTAGAAAATACTTTAAAAGCCCAGTAATAATAAATCTAATAGTATAAAAAAAAAAGTGTGCTACAGTATGTGGACCAGCAGCAATCTAGTATACATATATCATCTGGTACATTATGTTTCAGTTTGAATTGCAGATAATTTTTTTTTCTCTGTAAATTCTAAATTCATTATTTTTTTTTTTTTAAAGTTTTTTGTTCCATAATCTATTTATTAAAGTTTTTGATGATACAGTAATTACAGAGATGGCAGGATTACAATATATTGTTTATTATACTACAAGCTTCATTGAAAATAACTTAACACATTTGAAGCTGTACATTCATTACCTTTTCAATCCATAAACAGCAGTTGGAAAAAAAATAATAATACCCAACAATAGGATTTTCAAATGAAATGTTAAAAATGGCCAACCTAGTGGGTGATGCCATTGAAAGAAAATGTTCCCAAAGGGTTTAAAAAAATACATTACAAAAAAAAAAAAAAACAACTTGATGCAACATTAATGCGTGCAAAGCCAGCCTCAAGCGATCCCCAAGACACTGTACACCCAAGCACAGCCATCCAGTGCTAACCCTTCATCCCCCGCAGGATTCTGGGCAATCAAGTCTGCTTTCAGCCCCTCTGCATTCTTCTCTTTCTGGCTTGCTGACTGTTCCAAATTCCGCTGGGTAATTAGATTGTGGGCTGCGTTTCCCCCACCTTTATATATAGTTATACTGCCAGCGCTAGTCCAGAGTAATATCTTCAGGAATATAAAGACCCCAGGGATGATAGAATTATACACAGATTACTCGGCACAATTGCCTCTCGCCAGCCGTTTATTGCACGAGTATATATATTTATTTATTTTGTGTGTAGATGGGGGGGGGGGGGGGGGTGGGTGGTGTGAGTCTGCTCAACCTTCCTACAGAGGCCCTTATATAATGCCATTTTTAAAGTCGAACTCCAGGCATACCAATAAATTCATATACAAAAATTGATTTACCTGCCAAAGTGTATTTCTGTCCATCCAGTCCTGAGATTTATATAGCTCTGCCACACAGCACAGCCCTGTCTGGTAGACCAGGAGACCTGATTTTTCTCTGCTACAGTTAACACTTAGGATGGGTTCACGCTAGCCCATGCTTTAAAAAGTGATCTGCAGTGCATCACTTTCACAGTGTGGCTATGCAACAGCATATTACCACCTCCTTCTTGTTTAACAATTTATAATGGGGCTAATGTGGGGAAAAAATGAGCCAAGAAATTGGCTCCTAGTTGTGGCACGCCCAGGGGCGGACTGACCATTTGGAAACTCGGGCACTGCCCGTGGGCCCGGGGTCAGTAGGGGGCCCCATGAGATGCCCCTGATACCTTTTTCATAGGCTTTTTTGAGTTTGGGCAAGGACACAGGGGCCCTGTGATCCCCTATTGCCCGGGGGCCCCATGAATTGTCGGCACACCCCTAGTGACTTGAAACGCTATTTTTTAGTCGGTGGTGCCGCTTATTAAGCAGGCGTGCTATGTTATATTTGTTGCAGCTATGCTGTAAAGCAGTGTGGTATTTGAATATCCTCCTTTGGCTGAATAGAGGTGGTTGGCCAGGAAGCAGTTAAACCGAGGCTCGACCACCTGTTTTTACCGCCCCCGGCCGCTCCTGTGAAAGAGGCCTTACAAGTCTCCTCCCCAGCCCAACCCTGTGACTGGTCAGTGAAAGAGGAGGAGAAGACTCATGCACTTATCTATCTCTCACTCTGCTTTCTCCTCCAATCAGCATGTGGCCAGGGGCGGACTGACAACTCATGGGGCCCCCGGGCAATAGGGGATCATGGGGCCCCTGTGTCCTTGCCCAAACGCAAAAAGCCTATGAAAAAGGTACCAGGGGCATCTCATGGGGCCCCCTAATGACCCCGGGCCCTCGGGCAGTGCCCGAGTTTCCAAATGGTCAGTCCGCCCCTGCATGTGGCTTATTAGCAAATGAGCACTGTAGGAGTGCCGACTTGCTACTTGTGCTGCTTCTCCTCCCCAGAACTGAGCTCTGCTGTGCAAGAGGCTGATGCCAGATCAAATTCACTGCTTGCATATAAAATAATACATGCAGGGGCGGACTGACAACTCATGGGGCCCCAGGGCAATAGGGGATCATGGGGCTCCTGTGTCCTTGCCCAAACTCAAAAAAGCCTATGAAAAAGGTACCAGGGGCATCTCATGGGGCCCCCTACTGACCCCGGGCCCTCGGGTAGTGCCCGAGTTTCCAAATGGTCAGTCTGCCCCTGAATACATGTAAAGGATATATGAATTGATATACAGTAGAACGTGTCTTTTATATTAGCCAGTAGTTCAGCTTTATGCAGGCAATACATGGTTCAAATTCCGAATGATTTTTCGTCCCAAAATCAAAAATGTTGTTCGCTCGGTAATCCGATGGTGCCATCATTGATTTCGAAAAGCGGCTGACCAAACCATAAAGTTCACACCATATAACAGGCGAAATGTCTGTTCCTTCCAGGTCACGGCTCATGTGAATATTCTTTTCGGAAAAAAGATCGTACGATTTGACCATCATGGAGTCGAAAATCTGTCGTTTTTCACAAATTTTCCAACATGCCTGATCACCAAAAAGGGGAGGAACCACAAAAATCGGCCAGTGTCCTTGACCCACTAACAGAGCGAAAATCGTTCGATTATTCTTAGGTCTGATTATTGGACGAAAAATCAGTTGAATTTCGACCCATACATGACCGACCTTAGGCTTCATGCACACTGAATTCTATTGACGCTTTTTTCTCCTACAGAGGTTTAGCAGAAGTGAAAATGTGGTAAAAAGATGAGTTTTTGAATGTGTGTTTATGCGCATTCACACGTGAGTTCCTGCACCTGGCTTTAATACATTCTATTCACCAGAATTCTAGCCATTAGAATTCATTAATGTGGGAACACACCTAATATTAAAACACATTTTTGTGCCTTTAGGTGCTATTAAGCTTCATGCACACTAGCAGTTTTTTTTTTTTTTTTTAACTACTGGAAAAAAACACTGGTAATGGCGGTATTTTTAGCAGCATTAGCATTTTATTAGCATTTTTACAGTAATGTAGAAAAAAAGCTGTTAAGAGCATTTTAGTACTGTTTAGCAGCATTTAGCGTTTTTTTTCTGCTGGAAAAACTCCTAGACACCAGAGGCGTAGCTAGAATATTTTGCACCCGGGGACGAACTATAAAATTGGTGCCCCAGCCCCCCTCCCTGTTTAATCACATCAGTGACACCAATGATGGGGCACTATTCCTCCCACTGACACCAATGACACTTACCTTGCTGACCCCTGCTCTAGCCTAGGCTCCTTCCCTCTCCCATCCACAGCCAGCAAACCTGGTTGTAGCAGCACCATCTGCACGGCACACTTACCGGTCAGCTGTCTTCGTCACTTGCTCCGGCCGTTCCCTCACTCGATCTTCACGCTGCCGCTCGGCTCCTCCTCTCCAAGCTCCGCCTCATCGCAGGTGATTGGCCGCCTGTGTGCCTTTCCTGAGCTACAGTGCTGGCGCCCAATCAATTGTGAGGAGGCAGAGCTTGCAGAGGGAGGTACAAGCTGCCATAGGCTGTCCAGTGATCCCGAGGGTGTGGCCAGATGACAAGGGCAGCATGTCATCCTGCCCACACATCACGTCCAGGGAAAAGAAGACACCGGACCTGCGGACCTCTCTACCCCTCCTCCAGCAGTGCTTCCTGGACTGGATCATCGTGGGACTGGGACACGGAGCCAGGTAAGACAAAGCAGCCTGCTGCCCGCCCCTGTACTGTGTCCCTTCTGTTGGAAGGGGGGGGCCGTGACACCGCGCCCCCCCTAAAAAGTGCCGCCCTAGGCAAACGCATTGTTTGCCTTGCGGCAAATACGCCACCCCTGGTTGTAAGCCTCATTTTGGCGCCCGAATACATATGTACCCCCCTGCCCCCCCCCCCCCTCCAGCTACGCCACTGCTAGACACTGAAGCTAAAAAAATACTAATAGCCTAAAGCAGTGTACAAGGGCACACAGGAGAACACTATTTAGCTTCTAGGAGCAGAACAATGCTAATAGCAGCTTCTGGGAGCTTAAAAAAAACACTACTGTGCATGAAGCCCAAGGTGGTTTTTATGCTTAATAGCTCTTCCCCTAAATGCACAGCGCTGCGTTACTTTAACTGACAATTGCGCGCTCATGCAACGCTGCACCCAATTTAAAAGATGTTCTTTTTTCCCCCCACAAATAAAGCTTTCTTTCAGTTTTATTTGATAATCTCTGCGGTTTTTTTTTTTGCGCTATAAACAAGAAAAGACAGACAAAAAATATTTTTGACATTTTGCTGTAAAACATGTCGAATAAAAAAATAAACAAAAAATCTAATTTCTTCATAAATTTAGGCCAAAATATATTCTACTACATGTCTTTGTTAAAAAACTCCCAATACATGTAAATTAACTAGTTTACGTGAAAGTTATAGTGTCTACAAATGGAGGTATATATACTGGAATTTTATTTTCTATCTTATACTAGTAATGGCGCCGATCAGCGACTTATCTGCTATAAGTAGCTGATCGCCACCATTACGTACTAGTATAAAAAAAAAAATTACAGTAAAAATTACAGTATATATATATACCGCCATTTGTAGACGCTATAATTGTGGCGGGCATTCTGACACTGGATAGCAATTGACTGTCACTGACATCCCCAGTGACAACAAGGGCTCATGTACATGGTCGTTTGAAAAACTATTCTGACCGCTGGATGGGGACAAGGGCCTCTTCCCCACAACCCTGGGCTGTGGTTGTGGGTGTCTGCGGTGGGGGGCTTATCGAAATCTGAAAGCCCCCTTTAGCAAGGAGCGCTTACAGACCCCCACAACCACAGCCCAGGGTTGTGGGGAAGAGGCCCTTGTCCCCATCAACATGAGAACAAAGTGCTTTGGGGGGGGAGCTCCCCCTTCCCCACAGCACCACCCCATGTTGAGGGCATGCGGCCTGGTATGGTTCAGGAGGGGAAGGGGGGGCACTCGCCCTCGCTCACCCACCCCTTTCCTGACCTGTCAGGCTGTATGCTCAGATAAGGGTCTGGTATGGATTTTGGGGGGGACCCCCACGCCATTTTTTTTTTAATTTTGGCGTGGAAGTTCCCTTCAAAATCCATACCAGACTCGAAGGGCTTGGTATGGATGGGAGGGGGGACCCCACGCAGTTTTTTAAAATTATTTTTTTAATTGCCGGCAATTCTTTTACATTCTGCTGTCAGTTCGGAACCCCACTGATGGCTGAAACATTAATGCATGCTTTTCACTACTAAAATACTGCATGACTTTTATAAAATAACTAATGTGGTATTTTAGTAGCCTTTTTTAGTGGATTCAAATGTTTTGTTTTTTAATGCTATGCGGTATCCTACTGCATACTGGGATGTGGTAAGATACCGCTTAGTGAATTGTGCCCCGGATATGGACCAGTCAAAAAACCGCTCCTAAACGCAAAAGCTTCTAAACGCGGTTAACCGCGTTTACAAGCGTTTGGCGTTTGAAACGCCGGTAAAATCTACTCCTGAATGCAATTTTTCTGCGTTCAAAAAAATTACTGTAAACGACAGTGTACATAGACACATAGGAAAACATTAGGGAGAGTTCAGGGGCTGCTGAAAAAAAATGCAGAAAAGCTCCGTAACGTCAGTTTATCAGCTGCAGTGTACAGGAGTTCTAAACAGTTCTAATACAGCAATCAGTGCTAATAAAAAGCACTGACACTGTACTAATGACACTGGGCAGGAAGGGGTTAACATCTGGGGCGATCAAAGGGTTAGCTGTGTGCTTTACCTTGGAGACATGCTGCTTTGTATTTCTCTGCTGTGCAGAGAGTTACAAAGCAGCATGTCCATGCTGACAGGCGAGAGACCTGTATTGTTTACACACAGGTCTCTCCCATCAGCTTTCCCCAACAATCGCAGAGTGCTGGCGGAGAATCGCCATCTGGGACCCGGTGATTGACACCTGTAGCCGCCAATAGTGGCAAGGGTATGTTGGTGCACACGCTCCCCCACCCGGAAATGCACAGCCCTGCCGCCCTGTAGCAGGACCTCTGCTATAGGGAGGAGGACAACTGGTTAAACTCCTACGTGACACATGGGTCGACAAGGTGGGGAATTTAAAAGCAGAAAAAAAAAAGCTCAAACACCAGAAAAAAACAGTGTTTTGAACTCAAGTGTACATGAGGCCTTAAAGTATAACTTCTTTATTAAGTATCAGTAGAACAGGGCCCTCCTAACCCTCTTGCATTGAATTGTGTCATTGCTATATTATCTGACTTTATATTATAAAGTGCTGAGAAAACTGTTGCCGCAATAAAAATCCTGTCTAATAATAATAAAAATGACGCTCACCTTTGCGTCTCAGTGCTCCTGTGTTCCTATGGTGCGTGTCATCTCCAGGGGCGGACTGACAACTCATGGAGCCCCCGGCAATAGGGGATCATGGGGCCCCTGTGTCCTTGGAAGACAAAGCAGAATCTGTGAGATGACCAGGGGCGGACTGACCATTTGGAAACTCGGGCACTGCCCGAGGGCCCGGGGTCAGTAGGGGGCCCCATGAGATGCCCCTGGTACCTTTTTCATAGGCTTCCCCTTATCACACAACAGTCAGCGTATTTTGTGTGCAGTGAACTGTCACTATCCTTTAGTCAGATTTGTGGCTGTCTATGTGTCATTACCTCGGCCAGAGAACAATGACGTTACCAGGTAGGTACCCTTGGTCCACTGTTGACCAACTAATCCATCTGACCTGACCTAACCCTTGTTGTGCATGCTGTTCTTCTGGTTTAGTGATTCGAATTTACTCCTGGCTGATATCTGTCCTGGTATCTCATTAGAAAAAGGACCGTGGCTAGTCTATGGACATTTAAACTTATTAACCCCCAAAAAAGAACTTTTAGTATGGGAAGATCTATAGGCGTAAATTTAAAAAAATATGAAAAGAACCACTTGAGCTCCAGAAGGTATAACCCCCTTCATGACCTGGCCATTTTTTTTGCTATTCAGCACTGAGCTACATTAACTGGCAATTGTGCAGTCATGCAACACTGTACGCAAATGAAAGGTATAACATTTCTTTTTTTCTAAAATAGAGCTTTCTTCCGTCTAAACACTCCTAGTCCTTTTGGATCTCTCCATCAGAGCTTCTCCTATCATATTCACCTCCTTTTTCATTCTTCAATTTTTCTCTTTTTGTTTCTCAATCTCAATTAACAAACACCTTTGTAGCTATTTCTAACATACCAGCATATCCTTCTTACTCTTGCCATTTTCCTCTTAATATCCCTTATAGACTGACAAACAAAAACAGTGTTAAATAACATCTGTCAGTTGCTTCAGGGTCAAACGAGGTATATAGCCTAAAAACTAACACAGAGGATGGACACAGGATAACTCAAGCAACTTTTAAGTATGCCGGAGAGTTGGGAAAAGACAGACCTGACTCCCATACCTGGGTGGAGGAACATTTTGCGAAAACCGATCCCCAGTGGGGTCCAAATACAGAGAGGGATATGGAAAAACTTGAATTTTATCTGACAGCTATTATAGAATGGGATGAAAACAGCTGGCAAGAAGCCCACAAATCTCAGTGAATCCCAATGAAAGTCCAGGACAGTTTTATTAGAGACTATGTGAAAAGAGAGTCAGTAGAAATTGCTGGCAGTCAGACCAGGTGGGGTTATGCATCTGGATTATCACACGGAGAAAACCTGTCACAGCCTGTGGTTTCTCACTATAAAGGGTTATAGGTCTTCCAGTTCAGTAAATCAGTTGTGGTGAACGGAGTATAGACGAGAGTCCTGTGTCACCTATTAATTGTTCCCCTAGGGCAGGCATGTCCAAAGTCCGGCCTGCGGGCCATTTACGGCCCGGGGGTCGGTTTAATATGGCCCTCCAACAGTCCTCCGTGCTCTGTGTAATGTGGCCCTCCCTTCTATGGCAGACAGTCTTCTGCTTGAGAGCAGAGGGCAGTGCGCATGCCTGACTGCAGCGCGTTCTCCCTGGTCTGTGTAAATGCGGCTGTCGCACGGCCCTCCCTTCTGTGGCAGACATTCTTCTGCTTGAGAGCAGTGCGCATGCGTGACTGCGCCGCGCTGGGAGCGACAGAGGGCGGTGACGTCAGGGCCGGGCTTCCAGCGTGAAGTGTGTTTCTCTTCCCCTCCCGGCTGCCGAGCAGAGGCTTCAGCTCCTTTTTCACCCTTCACATTAGTGCAGGTAAGTTTTTTTTAAATTTATTTTCAATACATTGTGAAAACTCAGCTGTCAGTTGATCTTAATGTTATGAAATGAAAAGTATGTCGTTTGCAATTAACTTGGCATAAAATAATTTATTTGCATTTAATTGTAATGGTTCAAAGAATGTTTGGAAAAATGTTCGGCCCTCCACCATGTTCACTACATCCAATCTGGCCCTCTTTGAAAAAAGTTTGGACACCCCTGCCCTAGGGGCATTAGCATAAGTAAATTGAAGTATAGGACAACAGTCTGATTACTGGCACTGTAGTCCTTCGGGGTGGAAGTGAACACCTGATCAGTGCGCCCTTTAGTTGTTGCAGTGCCCCCGGTTCCCATCCTACTGCTACCTCTGAGAGTGTCACGACTAGAGGTGTCATTCTGTCCGTCGTTCACCCATGGTATGTCTCTGTACATACGGAGGAGGCAGATCTGTCTCCTCAGGTTGAGAAAAGATACACTTGTTACTTTTTAGGCTGTAGTGTTACCTTTGTCATCTATACATTTCATAGTGTATATCAGCTGTACTACTCCTATCCTCTATACATCTCCTACACAACTCATATTTTATCTATACATTCCATCAATGCAGTGTTTCTCAACTCCAGTCCTCATGGACCCCCAACAGGTCACGTTTTCAGGATTTCCCTCAGATGAAACAGCTGTGGTAATTACTAAGGCAGTGAAACTGATCAAATCACCTGTGCAAAATAATGGAAATCCTGAAAACATGACCTGTTGGGGGTCCGTGAGGACTGGAGTTGAGAAACACTGCATCAATGTAACATACAGGTAATGTGTCCTGAGAGATCCGTGTACACAATATATATTGTGTATTATATACTGTCCTATATATATCTTCTTAGTGTTCTATACATCTAATATTTCTTCCAATCAGTCAATGGTCTCTAAATTAAATGTACCCTGGGGCAGCCAACATTTTCCATAAGGGGGCCAGCCTTTCTAGCAAAGTGTTTCTAACCTTTTAGAACTGAATTTCAGTTTGCAGGTTTTGCAAAACCCTCTCCTGAAATTACTGATCATGCACTCTTACGCAGTCCAAGAGGATCTGGTCTGACTCTAAGGAAACAATATGGGTGGTAATCAGACACCAAGACAGACACAGAGGGATAGGGGATTGGATTGAGAACCTGGTAAGGGGTTCAGAGTCCTCAACACAATAGGGTTAAAAGACAAACACTTCCCCTTATCGGTGACTCAGTACAGAACAATATCAGCCCCAGTACCAAGAACTGTACCTACACAGGGTCAACTCTGGCTTTGCTGCTAGGCAGCGTCTCATTCACACACATACACATCAGACTTTCCAACCCAAAATTACTGACTACCTGGAGGTATGGCCCAAGGAAGCACAGTCATCCAATTCAAGGGCACCTTGGGAGGTGATTGGGCTCCCCTTCTCTCAAACTGTTGAGAGGTCCTGACTGTTATAACCCAACTGTTATAACTCAAAAGGCAAATATCTCACCTGTTCCCAATGTGTGTAGCTTCACTATTTAGTAGTTGGTTCCCCAGTCTGGGTTCTTTGGACTCCAGCAGGTCGATCCTCGGAGCAGGCAACTAGGATATAGTGCAATTTCCCAGACAAATGTCCAGTGGCAAATCCAACACAACAAACACTTTACTCCTGCGCTAGGAAAAGACTCAGTAGACCCAGTAGGAATGTTCTGGAATATGCACTGCTTGCTGCCCTCAACAGACCGGGGTGGTCCAAATACACTGGATACAAATGGAGAAACAGAAAAAGGGGCGCACCGACCTAGTGCATTATCATTTAAAATAATTTATTGAAGAAACAAAATAGGTATCATACTCACAATGCACATAATAACACAGGCATGTCAAACTGAACAAGATGTATGATCCAAACAACATCTGAGTCCATACGATGGAACACTGGATGACCAACTGGCTAATGTGTTTCGAGGGCTCTGAGGAAGAGGTTGTGTCCTCGAAACGCGTTAGGAAGTTGGTCATCCAGGGTTCCATCGTATGGACTCAGATGTTATTTGGATCATACATCTTGTTCAGTTTGACATGCCTGTGTTGTTATGTACATTGTGAGTATGATACCTATTTTGTTTCTTCAATAAATTATTTTAAACGATAATGCACTAGGTCGGTGCGCCCTTTTTCTGTTTCTCCATTTGTGTCAAATGTCCAGTGGCACCTAAAACAACACAGAGATCCCAGGGGCCAGCTCCAGGCCGAGCCCTGCGGGTCAGGGTGGAAAGCCACCTGTCTCGGTACTTACACCTGGTTTACCGGCCAATGCACCAAAAATGTAGTAGCAATTTTGGCAAACCAAATAACTCCGGACACAGACTCTTAAGGAATACAACTAATTTATTATAAACAGTGCTATTTTGACTCAACAGATGGCTCGTGCTCTCATTTGCTAAGTGAGTTAAAGAAAAACTTCTTAAAAGCATATATACAAACAATTACGTCACAAGGCATACATTCCTTCTTTCACTTTCTATACACTCAAAAGTCTTCCTAAACGCTACAGAATAACCTTGGACAGCAGCTACAGATTAGAGTGTTAACTAAGAGCTGGTACAAATCACTCACAGGAAATAAGGGAGGGGGGAAGATGAGCCAAAAGCCTTGCTTTTACAAACACAGGCTGTTAGAAGTGGTAGAGTTTAAAGGGGAATGCTACAAAATCTGGGTGCTCCCACAACACTACCCACTGCCAAACACTCTGCACTCCTCTCCCTGCACATACTACCCACCGCCATACATGCCATACCCCTCTCCTTACACTCTACACTGTACATTCCCTATTTAACATCACAGTCTGCACTATGTATAGTTGCGCTCAAACTTTTACATACCCTGGCAGAAATTGTGAAATTGTGGCATTGATATTGAAAATATGACTGATCATGCCAAAAAAAATGCTCTTTTATTGAAGGATGATGATGATCATATGAAGCCATTTATTATCAAATAGTTGTTTGGCTCCTTTTGAAACCATAATAACAGAAATCACCCAAATGGCCATGATCAAAAGTTTACATCCCCTGGAAGGTCTGGCCTTGGTACAGACACACAAGCCTATCAGTGCCCATCATTGCTGCATAAGTGCAGCATCATCAGTGCCTCTTCAATGCCCACCAGTGCCGCCTCATCACTGCCAACTCATTAGTACAGCCTATCAGTGCCCATCAGTGCTGCCTATCCATGCCACCTCATCAGTGCTGCATATCAGTGCAGCCTCATCAATGCACATCAGCGAAGAGAAAATTACCTGTTTGCAAAAATTATATTAGCAACAAAGAAAAAAAAAATGTTTTCGCTCTTTTTTTTTTTTTTTGCAAAAAATAAAAACCCCAGTGGCGATTAAATACCCCCAAAAGAAAGCTCTATTTTTGTGGAAAAAAAAAAACAAGACACACTGCAAAACTAAAAAGGTTCTGGAGCTACTTTTGGGGTGTTTGTCATACATAGGGCAACCTATTTGAGTGATTACGGTTACTTATGTGCAAGGTGTGTTAATGGGCAAAAGAAGTGAGTGGGAACCCAAGTTTCCGCTACACTCAGGTGTGAATAAGGCCTAAAAAGAATAATAACTCCTTTCACGCATATTTAAAACCAGATTTATGATTGGCAGTGCATTGATTTACCTGTTGCTACATAAAAAAAAACTGGCATTGGGGTAGCTATACACATTATACTGACAGAAGTTACTTATATTTATCTCACCAGCTAAAGGGTTTTTAAAGCTTTTTTTTGTTTGGCAAGTAACAAAATGACTGAAATGTATAGGAATAAGGCTAGGTTCAAATTACTGTGACCTGGTTACTGCATGTAGGCAGCCCATTTATTTCAATGGGCTGCCCTACTCACAAAAATGCTGGGGAAGAAGACTACGACCCTTTTTTAAAAATTGTGCGGCACCAAGCTGCATGATTCTGAGTCACCACGTGTTTTGGAATGTTCAAAAATGCACCACGTTTGCCAATGCATGAGGGCACCATTAAGAATTAATGGTACCCCCACGTATTAGCTAAAGTGCAGCAAATGTTGCTGTGGGTTAGAAAAGCGTGCTTTCCCAACCCACAGATATGTGAACTTATCCTAAATTATACCAATTATTTATATAACCCATAAATATCTACATACTAAAGGGGGGTCATTATTTTTTAATTATTTAATTAGGAATTAATCTATGGGCATGGTATTATTATTATTATTTTTTTTTTTTACACAGAATACATACTTGGCAATACTGCCACTGATATGAATAAGTACATATTTAATTTTTTTTAAGTCATAAAAATCAGGAAAAAAAAAAGAAAACTTATATGCAAGCTCTCATTGAACTACTGCAGGCCCTGTGTAGTAGTTGATCCTAAACATCTGCCGTAGAAGTCCATCAGTTTTTACCTTCACTTTCTATGGGTATCCCAGCTCCCTTCTCCCGGCAGGGGAGTCGCAGCCTGCTAGGCTTCTAATCTCTAATGTAAACACAGAGTAGATGCACAGATAGAAGAAGGAATGAGAAAATGCTGGGACCCTATGTCAACAATCTCACTGCTTCTCTTGTGAATTTGAGGATGAATTACTCCACGGTAGCTGTAGCTACAGAGATCAGCGACAGCAATTTCTCAAGCTTAGTTACTACTTGGTAATATGTTAATATATGAAATTTGAATGCCGGGCCACAGTTACAGTTTACGTTTACCCATCGACTGGACTCAACTGTCATTGGTTCAGCATCGGTGTCATCATGCTCCGGTATTGTAGTCCAGCCCTTGACACAACCAAATCCCAGTAGCATTATAAGTCTTATGGAAAGTTTATTTTAGCCTGGTCTTTCAAATTGTGCTTACCTTTGTTAAATTGACCTGTCATAAAGGGGACCTTTTACCCAAAAAACAAATAAGTCTACCATACTAAACCCTTAAGACACATTTAGAAAAGCATCACAATGATCATCTGAAATGCAATGGCAGTCAAATACATTTACTTTAATGGCACTGCACTTCTCCATAGGCCCTAGCCTAAGGACACATCAACAGTGCCTTCCAGGCAGCTCTCTGACCTAACTAGCTCAGACTCCAAATTTCATCTGTGTGGGAGATGGATACATTTCTATGAACTAAGTAACACAATTTCAGTAATTCAGTTAAATATTTGATTATGCCTCTGCACATATGACATTTGGATAAGTCATTTGTGCAGGTGGGATTTTTGAATGGCAAAGTGCACAGAGAGCATTGTCTTGATGCTTTCCATTATCGGAGCTTCAGAAGAGGTAAACATAGCATGGCAATATGTAAATCACCACAACCGGATATTGTTGGTGGTCAGGCAGAAGGAACTAGCCACTGGTAAAGTTGCAAAGCAATATGGTGGAATGGAATTTTTGTGATACCGAGAGGGCAGAGCTGTATGATCTCCTAAAACACGTAAGCGAGAGGTAAGGGAGTTAATATTACTTTGCTGGTAGAACACAGGTTTATTGTAAAGAAAAAAATGACAAATTGAGAGGAGGTCCGCTTTGAGAGTCAAGCGGTTGCAGTCATTATGGAGCTCTACATTGAAAATTTAGTGGACTGACTGTTAGATTGATACTTATGCTTCACTACTTTATACCATTGATCTGGAACAAGTAGGCAGAACATAACTTCTGACTTTTCTAAAATCAGTATGCTTCAATACCCACTCTGTCAGCATCACATACTTTGTCCTTAATGTCTCTTATCACTCTGTTCAAGTATTGAAAGTGAAAGGAAAAATCCCATAACTCCATGTTTGAAGAGCATGAGACTCCCTCCTTTCGTAAGTGCTGGTGATTGCCAAGGAGGTTCTCCATGTTGAGTACATGTGGCCTGGTATGCTTCAGGGAAGGGGGGTGTACACTCAGAGCTCACACAGATCTAAGGACTCTCCCTCATTCCCATGTCACAGCACTAGGACAAAGCACCTTGTCCCCATATTGATAAGGACAAAGGCCTTTTCCCCACAACCCTGGCTGGTGGCTGTGGGGGTCTGCAGGCTATGGGCTTACTGAAATCTGGAAGCCCCCTTGAAAAATTAAAGCCCCTAAAATACAGGCCCCATGTAAATGAGTATGGGGTACATAGTAACCCTAAACATGCACAAAAAATTAAAAAAATACATCACATAGACTGATGATGTCACATTGAAAATCCATCAACAAACATGATGCCTACTGCCTGCCAACTTGACAAAAAAAAAAAAAAACGTAATGACCTGGTGTACACACATTTGATCCCGACAGTACTCTGGCTGAATGACAGCTCCCCAAGCTGTCATTAGCTATATAAAAGAAGGGGCAGGGATAGTGGTGCCATCATGGACCAAATATGGCCAGATTTGGGTGGTGATGTCAGGGCTGTCACCACCCCTTTGGTTATGTGGCTGGGGATACCTGGTGACATCAGGGTCAGTAAGCATCCACTGCTTCCTTAGCAACCTTTGACAGGAGGCTGTCATATAAAGATACCAAGAAATACTGCTTTTATATACAGTATAGAGCGTTTGGCTTCTACCAAACAGGGAGCCATAGTATAAATTCCGTCTAGATAAATGCCCAAACAGCCAAAGTTTAATCCGAACCTAGGTCCAGAAAGTACCTTCTGCTCATCCTTATTAGCAGTCCTCCCAGTTTCAGAAATTGAGACAATATAACTGATTCCACTGTGTTTAGAGATTTAAAAAAAAAGGCTGCCATTAGGAATTAGGCTGGTGTTAGACAGACACTTCTGCCGCTAGAGACAAATCAGCAGGGTAGGATCGCTGAAGAGGCTGCCTGTCTGTCCCTATGAAACAGTTCGCTCTGTAACCAGATGCAACAAGATGTTGCTCTGTCGCTTGCCCAAAGGCTGCTGAATCCTGAAAGATGTGAGTGACATCTTGCTGCCTCAGCTATACAGGGAGTGATTCCAAAGGGACAAACAGGCAGACTCTTGGCGATCCTGCCGGTGGCGATTTGTCAAAATTGCCCGTGGCTGAGTCACCCATCTGACATCAGCCTTATTATCAAAGTAATAGAATTATTTTTCTAAACTCTGTATATTGATCTCAAACAGTTGGATAACAGTGCAAGGGTATAAGAGTCCAATGTATGCACATTCATGACACAGAGTCATGTAACAGTGAACATCAGCATTAGAAACAAATAATAGTATGCCAAACTTTACTTTCTTTGCTAACTTGCTACACCCCCCATCTTTTTTAGAACAGAAATTTGAATATTCGGTTTACTGAATGAGGAACTTGCTCTCCTACATTTTATAAACAGCTGTTTACAAAAGATAGTTATAGCTGGGCAACACCAAATAAATCTGCCTGAGGCTGGGTACATTGTATACATTTA